ATATCACGTTTGCAACTGGTCAGTGTTCAAAAAATGCTGGGAAATCACTTCATGTAGCCCTACAAGAGTGATTACTGATAAACTGTCTGAAAAAAAAGTCATCTGACGAGTCACGTTTTAGAGAGGAAAAAAATCACCCACTGACTTTCAAAGCTGCTACATAGTAACTACTTTCTACTTCGAGGATCTTGATAGAAATGTAGTGGAGTGAAAAGTACAATATTTGTCTTTCAATTGTAGTGAAGTTAAAGTCATAAGTTCCCAGAAAAAATAATACTCAAGTAAAGTACCGATACTCAAAAAGTGTACTTAAGTACAATACTTAAGTAAATGTACTTAGTTACTGTCCGCCTCTGCCGAGTGGATAATAAGGATGGTGTATGGGGTGGGGCATAGCTATTTATTTCGCCCTTTCCACCTTTTTCTTGTCGTAAAAATGGGGGCGGCCATTTGTAAATTCTATGGGTCTGGCTTCCGGTCTCATCTGCGTCCACTCCTTCCAGCTATTTTTAGCTGAACAAAACAGTTTGTTTTGCTGCTTGATATTGAAAGTTGGTGTGTCTTATCAAATAATTTTAATGTATCATCTTAATTATGAACACACTGGTTTGTAGTGCAAACAGTTTTACCATTTACTGCACGTTGTTATTCTCCTTGTTATTTACCTATAGCGGCTAATGAACCGGAAGTCTCACCCATAGGCTTACTTCCACGTTGAAGAAAAAGGTGGATAAACAGCGCAAAGGTTGGCAGGTTGCGTAATTTTCGGACGTTTGATCCTTTCCGTCTCCTTCCGGTGTTGTGACCCTGCGTGGTACATGCTGTAAGAGCTTGTATAAGGACGTTTTAGTTTTTTATATGGTTTATTCTATGTTAATTGCAGAGAGATAACCCCCTGATGCAAGAGTGTGAGCGCGTGGACGGTGTGTAATATTATGCAAGTCGCGGACGCCGTGTTTCGCCTATAGCAACGAGCTGTATCACGCAGGGTTTTTATTCCACTCTATTATGCAGTGTTTCTTGCGTAATTTTCGGACGTTTGATCCTTTCCGTCTCCTTCCGGTGTTGTGACCCTGAAGCGCAATAGCGAGGTATGAGCGTGGTACATGCTGTAAGAGCTTGTATAAGGACGTTTTAGTTTTTTTTATATGGTTTATTCTATGTTAATTGCAGAGAGATAACCCCCTGATGCAAGAGTGTGAGCGCGTGGACGGTGTGTAATATTATGCAAGTCGCGGACGCCGTGTTTCGCCTATAGCAACGAGCCGTATCACGCAGGGTTTTTATTCCACTCCATTATGCAGCGTTTCTAGTCCACTTGTGGGATTACGGCAGAGGTATGTATTTTGCGTTAGATGGTTAGGTTTGTTATAGTGATCATATTTATGTATAATTATTGAGTGATGTAAAGGATTGTTGAGTGGTTTCAAGGCTGTGTTAGTTGCGCTGTGACGGGTGTTTATTTGTGTTTTTATATTGTTTATTTGGTTTGTTAAAGATTGATAGTTGTTTTGTATTTGTTTTTGCATTTCTGTTTGGCAGATCTTCCTCTGTGGAGTTCTATGCATGTGGACATCTGATGTCTAGGCCCTGCTGTTTTGTTTGATTTATTTTTTATATAAGTTTTAAGCTGATGGTCATATGCTGATGTTTGTTTTGAAGTTATTTTTTCATTTGTTATTATTGATTTTGTCAGCTGTGTCCTGTTTGTACCAACCGCTAGGGGTCTATATGGTGCGTGGAGAAAAGGGGAGTTTTGAACCCATTTTTCTGTATTCTAGGAGCCAGCCTGTGTGGGAGCACTTTCCTCTGGGGTCATCTGGGTCCTTCCTCTACTGCATGTGGCGTGAGGTTATTCTGCACTGCATGGGTATTGATTTGAGAGTGTAGAGTTATTTGTATTATTCACTACACCTTTTTAAATTTGTTGGTTGGTGCACGTGAGGTGTGTGTGTGCTCTTGAGGTTGTGGGTCTTTGGCCCAGTGACGACTTTTTCTTCCCGCAGGCTTGGTTGATCTTGTATACAGGAATTGTGGGTTACAATTTTTAATATTTGACTTGGGAGTCTAGACATCTTAAAATTGAGTTTCTCTCTTTTTTTTTTTTTTAGATAGTTATAAATGTGAAGTTGATCGCTTACACTGAGCTTTTAGTACTGACTGCTAATAAAAGTGTTGTCCTTGAAGGTCACGTCTCTGTTCTTCATTCACTGGCTATAGAACTTGTGTTGCTGTGTTTAATTATTTCCGTGGGTATCTAACCCCGGTGGCGTAGTCGGAATCAAGTTGATCATTGGTTATCGCCTGGTTACATCAGCAAGCAGATTCATCAGTATTCATGTATAACCATGGCTTCAACAGAGTTAATCAGAGTCTTCATGGCAAGTTGATCCATTTAACATCTGGAAAGAGATTCATTGAGCATGCTATGTTGTTGCTGAATGGGTGAATTCGATAGATTCATTCATGTACAAATTAACGTGACTACATTTTTTTTTCTTTCAAGGTTTGTAGGGTTAGCTTGGCTCAATTTCAAAACCCACACAATTTCAGGGGACCCTCTGTCAGCCAAGCAATGGACACTGATACGAATGGGAATGTGAAAAGAGAGCTTTTTATGATCCATTTCTTGCATCTTAAATCATGGAGGAAATTAATCAATTGAATTAAAAAAATTAAAATAAAAAAAACACTCCTCCCAGCCGCACAGGTTTTAACCACACAGCCTCTCTTCATAACCATACCCTGTAAAGACACAACTACAGATATAAGCAAACAGATGTCGCACACAGTTGACTGGCCTGACACCTTCTTGCTGTTCAGCAAACAGTTGTAATTGATGTACACAGACAGATGTAATTCCTCAGGACACCCGTTTCAGTGATTTATGACCGGTACAGCAAAACCAGAAACTACCAATTAATTTCAGTATTGACACTGGGATAGATCCACTATATCACAAACTCAAACTCAACAAACAGAAGTGAATTAAATATAAAATGCACAAATAATGACAAATCTAAACCCATCTTTATACAAACAGGATTTACGACTCTTTGTCAGGGTTGGCTTTTGTGGCTTCCTTGAAGTCTGGGTTGAGCAGAGTCCTATAAACAAGAAAAAAGAACCGCACTTTAGTTTAATATGCTATATAAACATTATGAAATAAATTACTTATCTTTCAAAACAAGACACCAAATGTCTATTAAATATAAGAATAATAAATAGTGAAAGTGAAGTCACATAAGACAACTTTTTTTCCTATATTTCCAATTCAAAATGTTGTGAAGAGAACCAAAACTAGCTGGCAATGGTAAATTGTGTGCATTCACATTCTCATCAATTGTTTTAGCACATCATTATTTTGTCATGTAGTTAACAAATTCTGGGTCCATTATATAACAAAACAAAAATGACAAATGCTGCTGCACTCTAAAAAACTTTGGGTTATTTACTGTACCCAATATCTGGGTTAACATGTTGGGTCGTTTTGTTGGGTTATTCCTATGTTTATTGGGTCATTTCTATAACAACGCAACCAGTTGGGTTAAAAATGTAAATTCCAACAGTCGATCGGTGCAACTGCGACAGATGATACAGTGGTAATATGTGTGCGTTATGTTGTTGTTGTTTTGCTACAAAGTGTCTTTAAGCCCTGACAGTAATATGCTGTTTTTCCTACGAGTATGTTTGCATCTCCCCTGTCGTCGACTGATATTTTAATCCGTTATCTGCACTCTTGAATTGACTAACGACACAAGCGCTCTGAAGCCTATCAATTTCAAACCTATAAAAAACGGTTTCCTTAATTTTTCTGTTCGTCTCGACAGTTTGGGGAAACATTTTATATATATTTCAGATATCTGGCCAACGCGCTCGTCTTGAAGACCAGGAGCCTCTTCGTCCGGTGTCGCGTCCACTCTGAGTGAAAGTATGTCGCCTTTTTATTCAAAACTACATGTCCTTTCGTCTGGAAACTACAGTGTAAAATTAAAACACTTCGAAACAGAAATTAAACGCTTCATCTCTGGAAAGTTGCTGGTTACCAGGAGCAATCATGTAGTGGGCCATTTCTATAACAACGCAACCAGTTGGGTTAAAAATGTAAATTCTAACAGTCGATCGGTGCAACTGCGACAGATGATACAGTGGTAATATGTGTGCGTTATGTTGTTGTTGTTTTGCTACAAAGTGTCTTTAAGCCCTGACAGTAATATGCTGTTTTTCCTACGAGTATGTTTGCATCTCCCCTGTCGTCGACTGATATTTTAATCCGTTATCTGCACTCTTGACTTGACTAACGACACAAGCGCTCTGAAGCCTATCAATTTCAAACCTATAAAAAACGGTTTCCTTAATTTTTCTGTTCGTCTCGACAGTTTGGGGAAACATTTTATATATATTTCAGATATCTGGCCAACGCGCTCGTCTTGAAGACCAGGAGCCTCTTCGTCCGGTGTCGCGTCCACTCTGAGTGAAAGTATGTCGCCTTTTTATTCAAAACTACATGTCCTTTCGTCTGGAAACTACAGTGTAAAATTAAAACACTTCGAAACAGAAATTAAACGCTTCATCTCTGGAAAGTTGCTGGTTACCAGGAGCAATCATGTAGTGATTATTATTTTTCACCGACAGAGTGCGCTGTGACCTACACTGATTACACGCGCCGCTACTTCAGACATGAAGAACTGAACATAGAGAGAGCGGAGCATTATTATCATCAGTTATCAAAATACTCCATTATCGGTTTCAAGGTATAGTCACATAATAACCATTCTTGTTAAATAAAATTAATACTGTTTGTATGTACTATATGATAGGGTCTGAACAGGATGCTGGATTTTACACAGTTTCTAACGTTAATAAAAGCTCCACTGTCAAAACCCCATACGTCTTAACTAACGTATACCACTTGGGGGAAAGTACACCCTGATATGGATAAATGATAATACAACTAAATAATTGGACATACAACAGTTACATTTTCTGAATATAATTACATTTTATGCTCAAAAAGCAAAATAATAAGGCTAATTAAAGATCCATTTCCAAAAGAACAAACATATAATCACATTTGAAAAGTTAAAAGTTTGTATTGTATTTACACTGTACGTAACAGTTTGTGAAAATGAAAATATTAAGTACACTAAAAATTGGTTTAAAATATTTTAGTTGATATTTATGTTTGTACTGTGTTTATGTGAAGTCATAATCTTGGTATAACGTAGTAGGCTACTGTTTTGACCAGTTTGTTAATTAGAATAATATAATGGAACCCACAAAACCATAAAAATGTCTCTTCACTTTGTTTCAATTGGTAAATAATAACAAGTGAGATTTTAATTATATTTTGAACACTGAAGTAGGAAATGTTGTCGTCTTATGTTAATGATTGAATTTAACTGTTTCTTTTCTTTGTTAATTGTAGATTGCGCTGGACTAAGGTATATTATACCCACATGGCAGGGATGGATAGACTCAACAGATAATCGCATATTGCAAGATAGAGAAGAGAGCCTAGGATCTTCCGGATATTTCTTCTGGTGAGAAAATCCTGCTCTGTATTGTCATGCCAAATTGTAATATTTTACATTATGTACTGACAAGCACACCAACACACACTTAGGGACAGTTTTACTAAACGGGGCAAATTAGCACCAGAGCGCAATTCCAAAACAGCGCCGATGGGTGTGGAAATTTATGTGGGTGATTTACTAACAAATTAAAGAACACAGATGTGTAGCGTCTGGACCAATCAAACACTCAATATATATTTTGTTAGCTATATTTAACAAATACTCTGTAACACCCCTCAGTTAACACGCCATATGAGGACCTATGGACCCTTCCCCCGAAATGAGTAACACCCCAGGAAGCCGAACAGTCCCCTGGTTCCATGGCAACCAACGCTGATATCACTGGGTTTATTGTCCGAAGGAATACGAAGCAGAGAAAATCACTACCTTTTTATAGCAAGAAGCATAAGGCACAGTAGAAATGGACTTTTCTACTAATTAATTAATAGGAAAACCTTTCTTTGAATGAACACACACATACTCCTTTTCAGTGCTAATTCTTCACTGTGCATCTTTAGTAAAACCTGACAGTACTATTTTAACACCAAAAGACAGTTAGTAAAACTGGCCCTTAAAGGGTTAATTCACCCAAAACTGAAACTTTTTTATCACTTATGTTATTCCACATCTCCATTAGGTTTTTTTTCTGCTGTACACAAAATATATTGATGATATATAGTATGAATAAATACACATTCTTCAAAATCTACTTTTGTGTTCAATAGAACACAGAAACTCATTGTAAATGATGTAAATGAATGAGTAAATGATGACAAAAGTTTCATTTTTGGGTGAACTATCCCTTTAAGAAAAATCACACAAACAAGAGCACTGTGAAGGTGTCTTTAAATAGCTGAGTTAAGGCTGCTTGTGCCTGCTCAAAATTATCTGTATAGCAGTGCAGCATTAAACAGTATGTAAAGACACAAAAGCTACTTTCAGAAGTGCATCTGTGCCATCTTTGTAATGTGAAGTTTGCATTAGACTCTAGATCAGGTATGAGACCACAGATAACCACAGCCTGCAACAGCATGATTACGAGTGTGATATATAGTTTTTACAAAACTTAAATTTCATTCTATATTTCACTGACACACTGTCATTACCATCCACTATCATAACAATGTAACATGCAGAAGGAGTTCAAAAATCCCCACACCTGTCTATAATGATACAAACACCACTTTTGTAACACTTGGCTAATCAAACTGATATATAACAGACATTAATCCATTATTACAACAGTAAGAAGTCGAATGAAAGACTGCTACCATGGCTTAAAAAAAGTGTGGATTTTTTCCCTTATTTTGCCCATTTTTGTTCGGTGATTAATCCATTGTTCTTTCTATTTAAGATGGTCTTTGGAGATTGCATTAAAGTTGCATTAAAACTCTGACGTCCTCCTTCATTGCCATACAAAGTGGGTAAGTGCATCATTTACGACAATACATTTTTGGGTATTATTTGATCCTATGTATGCATATTTACCATTTTAAATGTCTGTTTAAAGGTTGGAACAAATCTCATTCTGTATTTGGAGGAGGAGGAGGAGGAGGAGGAGAAGGAGCAACAAAGGCGATACCCTCATGTCCTGCAGTTTTGGGATAAAATCCATCCTTCATTATTGTGGGAGAAATGGCACTGAACAAGACCGTCTTTTTACAAGCAGTTGATACATGGTTTAGATTATTTTACATTTTGAACATTGAGTATCCCAGGCCTGTTTCAGCTGTAATTACATTGTCCTGTTTGTTTGTTAGTGAATTTATATTTATCTTGTAAACTGAAACAATTGCAAGTAACCTAATGTGATAAGAAAGTGATTAATAAGACTATTTTAACCAATTATTTAATTTAATAGAAGTTTTTGCAACTTTAAATGTAATAGAAATAAAGTGTTTTCAAAATATTTGTTTGCTGTATATTATTATTTACATAGCAATACTAATACTAATAATACTTCTACTACTACTACTACTAATATCAGGATGGTTAAAGCAACATTTTGGCCAAATAACCCAATAAATTAGTTATTTTATAACCCAGATTTCGCTTTCCTTGGACATGACGACCAAGATATTACTGTGCTTGATTGGCCAGCCAACATGCCTGACCTGAACCCCATATGGAATCTATGGGATATTTTCAAGAGAAAGATGAGAAACTGTTGATTCAACAATACAGACGAGCTGAAGGCCGCTATTAAAGAGACCGCAGCAGTTAAAGCAGTGCGAAAGGCTGATCGCTTCCATGCCAAGTGTTTTCAAAATATTTGTATGCTGTATATTATTATTTACATAGCAATACTAATAATACTTCTACTACTAATAATAATACCAGGGTGGTTAAAGCAACATTTTGGCCAAATAACCCAACAAATTAGTTATTTTATAACCCAATGCATTGGGTTACTAACTTACTACCCAATCCACTGGGTTAAAATAACCCAACATTAGGTAGGTGCTATAGTAACCCACCATTGGGTTATCTATTGGGTCATTTTTAACCCAACAATTTTAAGTGAGTGGAAGATTTAAAAAAAATTATGCACGGAACATAAAGGATGCTTAAAACAAATCTATAGACATTTTTGTTATAATTAGAAAACCGGGATTCTACCTACTACGTTTTATTAACAAAATATGAAAATGATATGAACTATATTCATATTATTAAAGATTTATTACTCTTTCTTTAATGCACTGTATTGTCTTTTATACGTTACTTCTGCTTTATATACATTATCATATTGAGATGTTATTTCAACCTATATATAGAACAGGAAATCAAAACAATGCCATGATCTGACATGTGACATATGAGTGTATTAAAAATGATCTTGATGCAGCTCCATAAAAAAGACAAGTAGTCAGTTGTTCTTAATTGTTCAATTTCAGAGCATGTAGGGATGTAGGGTTGTTTTGCTCTTACAGTCTCTGTACAGAACACATGGAAGTTGATCATTTCCTCTCCCATAATGATGTAAGATACAAAAGAAAAGATCTTTGAAGAAAAGCATGCAAGACATTTTTTGGGTCATCTCTCATCCATGACTGCACGAAATGAATCGGTCTCCACAATACAGACAAACACTAACCTCTTTAAGGAAAGGAGACTCTACCCCCAGGTATTTTGAGAGCACATATAGGCAGAAGAGGTGCCTGTCAATGCTAGATCCAGTCATGGCCAGGTGGTAGAGGTTCTGATGCTTCTCAGCAGCCTTTCGGAACAGCTTGCGGCAATGTTATCCGTCCTATGAAGAAAAATCAGGCAAAATGAAATAACTGCCATGCGAGAGGTTACACGACAGTACAAAGTAATTATGGAGGGCTGTGGCACTTAAAAATCAAATTAAGAAATCAACTATCAATGGTTTCAAATAAAAAACAGAAACAAACAGACCTTTTATTTTTTTTTATTATTTAATAAAATAAAATGTTTCAAAATGTAATTTAACTATACAATAAATAATAAAAGAATAAATCATTTTTGCATGCAAACTTTAAAATAGCATTTTTATAAAGTATTTACAAATAGCATCATCAATTTATAAATTGCTTTTCTTTATTATTTTGCCACATAATTTTATTCATTAATTAGCCAATCAACTTATATCAACTTATTAAACAGGTTTATATGTATATAAAACATATTTATTTGACCATTTCAAAAGAGTTTTTTTTTATTCATTACGTTTAACTACATTTTTAAACATGAAATAAACAGTTTAAATGTCTATTTATTCAACAGTCATGTTATATTTTGTAGCGTCTGGACCACTCCAACACACAATATATATTTTGTTAGCTAGATTTCACAAATACTTTGTAACACCCCAGGACGCCGAACAAGACCCTGGTTTCATGGTAACCCGATACATTTACAACCTTGTGGAATGCGAGCCGGCTCTCATTCTGCTTTCTCCAGAAACAAGGGGTACAAATGCACAGGAGAAATGGACTGTTCTACTAATTAATTCATAGGAAAACCTTTTCTTTGAATGAACACACATTTTCTTCAGGCCATTGTGTGTATTATTGCTGTTTTGTATTAATCTGTTGTATTATAGACTATTTTTATTCGTGCTTACGATAAACCACTCATTCAGATAACCTTACATATAGCTTGTTTAGTATCTATGAATTCGCCTTCTGATGATCTAAACAAGAATGTATATTATTTGTTGGTACGTAGGCAATATATTAGTGCCCTGAGAACCTTTAGTATTTCAGTACCAAAGTTTCAGATACTAAAGTACCATGTTTCCACACAAAGAGCCATAAAACTCCACAGGATCTCAAAACGCCCACTTGGGATTCCGGCTTTTCTCATTGGATAAGCCCATCTTGAGAGGCGGGGATCTTCTCTGACCTTAAAAGCTGACACACCATGTGACCCACCCAGTCGGTGGTTCAGTGAGATGCTAAGATGAAGATGTGAGAAACGCTCCAGGATACCAAAGCTCGTGCCAGGCTCCGGCCTAGTCCTTTTCATTCATCAAGTGATTCTGACTCAAACTAGCTCTTTCTCATCAACCAACTTCAGCAAGATCTTGGGGCCGTAAGATCGCATCAGGAATCTTTGTTCATACAGACGTGCAAGTATCAAACTTAGTCGATTTAATTGATGCATTAAGTATCAGTTACACCTTTTTACAAGGTTTGTTGAACTAAGAATCTGACGTTTTCCCTCAGGTTTTAGATCTGCTGAATATGCAAAATGGTTCCATAAATGTCATTCCTTATGTCTCTTTCTTTAGTGCTAAACTTTAACCCTTTCCTATACCAACTGTATGTGTGTGTGTGTGTATGTGTATGTTAGACCGGCTTAATGTGTTTATGTAGTATGTTAGACTAGTTTAAGTGTTTATGTAGTTAATAAAACCTTACTTGTATCACACTTGACGTGTTCATTGTTTACTCATAACCGGAGTCAATAATCATGCAGATTTACGTTACAAACTTATAGAATTGTACAGTAAGAAAGTTATTTCCTTTAACCAGGAAATTAACGTTCTTAGAATTGACAAGACGGTTGACCCTGAGTGGTCAGCTAAATATCTACAGTGGATCTAAAATATGAATAGTTAATTATAACTAGTTATGGTTAATTATTCATATTTCCCCATGAGCTGATTCCCTACAATTTTTATTTTTGAACCAACAAATTGATAAATGATTCCTTCATTTTATTTTTAAGTGGCATTCCTGATTCCTCAGTGAAGTGCTGTCAGTAACAGAAACTGAAAGAGAAGGATCTTTGGATTTACAGCATGCTCCAGTCAGCCGAGGCCTTTTGATAAAAATCAATGTGAAAAGTTCACTGCTGATAGGGTTTCAAAAGTTCCTTCTTCAAAAAGTCCCCAAAAGGTAGAAGGAAGAATTTGACTTAACCTCTCCTGCTTCCAGTGCAAGGACAAAGACACAGCTCTCATTGGAACAGCATTGGACGGTCTCAGTGCAACCCTCGCGAAACAGATGAGTCATGGAGGCTTCGTGCGTCGGGCAGGAAGTCCCCCTGTCCTAAAGGTCAAAGAACAAATGAGACAGTGATGTTGAAAACAACTTCCTGTTATTTACATTATATCAGTTGGAACTGTACTGAAAGCAGAATGAGAGTATGAACACAACACATGAGACAAATAAGAGAAAGTCCTTTCCCAGGGCTAAAAAATGGCCTATTAAGAATGCTGACCTTCAATATGTGGGACTTTTCTCACGCATACTTATTATCAATGCTTTCGCTTTGTCAGGACAATGAAGATTGAAGTACCCTGTAGTAGGCCAGCTGCAGGGCCAGCTGCACAAAGGAATCTAGGCTCATTTTCATTTTCTTGATCCGGCCTTTCCCAAATTCTCTGAAGGGAAACACATGACAGTCCACATCATCAGCCAGTGCTTGCGCAACAGCGAGAGGCTCGGACACCTGCGTCTGAACCTACAGAAAGACAGCGGAGAGAGGAGGTCAGTATGCCTGTGATTGGTTTTCATTCCTTTGGGTTCTAGAAGAATACTGCTCAATGTTGTATCAGTGATTAAATAAAAAATATAGCTGGTAAGGTGTCATGCCATGGATCATGGTATAGCATGGAGGAAAAGTTTCTATAGTTACCCATTTGCTTCGGTGGTGAAATTCAGAGAAATATCCTATAGATTAGACATTTTTAGAAAGAAAAATACTCTTAGGGTTTTATGCACTTAAAAAAAGTTTAACTGAGTAAAAGAACATCATAATAAATGATAAAAATTATACTGTACAAGACGCTGGAATATCAGCAAGTCTATAACCGCAGAAGATTTTATTACAGGTACTAATATTAATACTAATATAACTGCTTCAGTTTTGTTTGGAGCGACATGAGTAATTTTTCATTTTGTGGTGGAGTATCTTTTTAAGAATACTTTGATGCGTTACAACAAAGACTTCAAGTGAATTGTTACAGATATTTTTAATTGTGTAAAAGAACTGTAAAAGAATGGCCACTAAGCACGTCCCTAATATCATGTAAAATACAATTCATGCTTCCATTGTCAAGAATGCACACAAGGAAGTTGTTTACACACACACACACACACACACAAATCCCCAATGCTTATTTGCATGAGAACTACCGACCCTGAGAAGAGGCTGCAGGGAAAATCCCTGATTGACTGGGCACATTTTTAGACCTTCCAAGTACCGCAGTGAAGTGACAAAGTGACATGCAGAGTTTTGTTAAATATTGCTACAGCTATCATAATAGAAATGATAAAATATACAGAAAGATTAATGATTACATTTCTAAATAAAAAGGCAAACGCATACATACATGAGCCAGTGCAACATTACTGAACCTTGACGATATATGAAACTCATATAAAGGTTTCCCTTCAATACGGGAACATGAGATTACACTTAGATAAGATTGCCTGGCTGTGAACTGTACAAAAAAGTTGTGTAACTCTTACGTGCTGCACTGCATTAAACAAATATTTTTAAAAGCTTTATCACTCTATAGTGCACTAGGTGTACCATTTTAAAATAAAATTAAGAAACAAATACAAAGTCAAAAATAAAAAAATATGAAACAAATAACTAAACATTAAATTAATAAATATATTTATTACTAGTTAATAATCAATTAACAGACATAAAAAGTTTAAAATGCTTTATTAAAATGCTATTTAAATGTAGCATGTTAAAGTCATTTAAATGAGTTCATGCAATATTTTCTTGTTGTATTTAATTAAGATTTAAGCATAGATAAACAATCAATTTGTTTGTCAATTTATTTATATTATTTGTTAAATAGCACAACTGATATTTCATCATTTTTATTCCTTTGATTCCTTCCAGGATCTCTAAATTGCCTAAAGTATCCAGGTGCTGGCTTTATATATGCACACACACACTCACACACAAATTTTTACAATATATTTAACATTTTTAGCACACCAGGTTGACTACAAACAAACATGAAATGTTATGTTTACTCATAATAATTTCTAGGGGTGCCAATAGTTGTGGCCAACATGTATTAGAGATAAACATTTATTTCATAAAGTGATCCCCTCCCCTACTTTGATTGTTTTACTTGCTGAAAGGTTTGATTTTTGTGATTTTTTTTTTAATGAAAGATCAAAAGGATAAACAATACAGATTTATTTTCACAGCCTTCTTTGATAATATTCACTAAGGGTACCAATAATTCTGACCACAATTGTACTTACAGTTACAATGCACCATGAGTGCCTCCATACACGTATCTACTATCTAAAAAGATTTAGTAGGCAATTTTGCATGAACATTCTCCAATAATAGTTGCTTTAGGAAAAAAGCACTTCTTTTATGGACCAAACAGAGCCTAAAGTGGGCATATGATTATTAAAACAGTAATGCATAAACTTACTGCCTGTTTTGCAGCGTCAGAAAATCAAACCTAGAACTGATAAGGATAAAGAACTAGAGTTATGTTCATGTTATCATCCATAACCAGACACATGTTGCTGTTGAATAGCATTGAATCTATCAATGAATCTTCAAAATATCATGAAAGTTGAGGAAGGAGAAGGAAGAAGATGTTATTTGTGTGTGTGTGCATTGTGCATACATGCATGGTTTGCAGTCATCCTTAAATGTTTTGCAGATTGCATGAAGAACCTGATGTGTGACATGACATGGGTAACATGCCAAGGTTTGATGAGGAACACAGAAAGCGTACAACAAAAAAAAGAGAAAGCTTTTCATCTGGCCTCCAGCGGTATGTCCCAGCTCAAGCATTGAGGCGGTGGTAAGGAGCGCTCGATCTCTCCCCTGCTGTTCCCATCCGCTGTGTAACCCAAATGAAATGCGTCTGTGGCCAGAGTGAGTGAAATATACAATCTGAAAAACATTCAACCCAAACAAGATTGTAAACACTCATTAAAGAACATCACACGTTTGATGCACATGTTTTGTATGTGTGGAGGCGTGAATGGAATGTCTTTCTGCAGAAAACTGCTGTGGAGGTCATCAAAGTGGTCTTTGTCCAGACAGACCACCCACAGACACTGTAACTGCATATTCTAAAATCAGCGTCTTAAATGTTTCAAATGACACAGGCAGTGGGTTGGTGACTAATATTGAAACTTGAACCATGACATTTGATGTATGATGAACACCAAGTTCATTATTGCTCCGAGACTCCCACACTTACCTCTCACAGGTGGGTCACTAGGAGCATCGGCCCAAGAATGTTCTGCATTTAGCCCATTCTTTCCATTCTTATACACCACGGCAGAAAATGACTTATCAAACCACCTGAGGGAAGGAGGACAGAAGTGAAGCAATGTGCTGGTCACGCAAAGTTTCTCAGTACAAACACGTTATGCTGCTCACCCACCTGCCACAGCATTTTCCGTGAAGGAGGGATTTGGCATAGCGGTCCAGGTTCAGGGAGGGATCCTCCCCCATCATGCCTTCTTCCTGATCATCCAGTGTGACAAAGAAGGCCGCTTTTTCAATGCAGTCCAATCAGCGCTTGTTCTCTCCAGAGCTGAAGAACTGCTTCCTCACCTGAGCCTGCAGGGCTTCCTGACAGGACAGAGACAAAGAAAATCAGTTAAAGATCCACACAAAACAAACAAAGCCTTTTTATTGAGCCATCGTAGATAACACGAACTTATAACCGATAAGGAAAAACGTCCTTGTAGACATCTTAGTGAGATCATAATCTTGAAAATGTTAGTAAGGTTATATTTGGCTTTGAATCAGGAAGAACATGCATTTTCCCATGCTACTTATCTACTGTTGACATACTGAAAAGGTCCTAAAATATTAATTTAAAAATATTTTAACAAATAGGATTTTTGCTGACTTTTTTGCGGACTTTTTTGTGGCCATATTGCCCAGCTCTATAGCACCATATTATCAAGCGTATTCTATTTTCATATAAAAATATTATCAAGAAAACGTTTAGTTCACTGTTCTACCAGTTGAGCTCCGGGAGCAAAAGTTTGTTTAAAAATGTTTTTTTCATTAATTACATTTTTTTTTTAAACAAATCTAAAATAGCTGCTTTTAATCTCTGTATTTATGAATGTATTTACATAATATCTTAATCACAAAATCTGAAACCTTCTTGTCAAGGTTCCTATTATGTTCAATTAGGTGTAGCATCATGCATGACCACTGACAAGTGGTAATATTGAAAATTTGATTTGAAAAGCACTCAATTGGTGTGAGTGTCAGTTTGTAAACAAATGCCATCACAACTGTAGAATGACTCACATTTCATCTAGGTCACAATTCAGCAAGGAATTAGTAATGTATTAAAGTAATCATTACATGCTTAAACAGCTCCAATGAAGTCTTTCAACTGAATAACAGATATTGTACCTTTTCAAATAAAATGAAAGACGGATATGTAAGGGATGGATCCTAGTCAACACACAGACAAGCACTGCTTTATGTTTGCATTATTTATCTCTAGACTGAGGTTATGTGAATGGCTGCTCTTCATTAAACTCTGAGAGGATGAGTACTGTATATAGCAGTTACAGACTAGCATCAGAGTGTGAGAGAAAATAAAGAGTATAAAATTGCTTCCGTTGCAAGTATCGTTTCTTGCATTCAAGCAAAGGTCATTTCATCTATAATGTAGAGCACAACATCCTCGCATTTCTCGTCTGAGCGAGGTGCACAGTTGCTTGCCCAGGCTTTTTTCATCTCATGACTTTCCAACATGCATAGACTTTTAAAGACAAAAAAAGCAGTGGCATTAAACTGAACTTAAGTAGGTGCTTATTATATCTTGCTGCCAAAGTAGCTGCTCTGCTCGGGTTCAAGCCACTGATGTTCTGCATCCTGCCCCCTCCGACCTACATTCTTTGATGTATATCTGTATTGCACAATTTAGAGGCTCTGTGAAGCAGTGCTTTGTGTTATCTTCACAAAACCTCCTTTCAGCACTTTCTCTGAATGATGGTTTGAGCTTTCATGACTAGATTAATTATATATTATATTCAAAAGACACCTGAAGACCCAAACACGTGATCCTCAATCATTCAAGTAAACATGAAACGGCACTCGCACTCTACTTGGATAATATTCAATGACATTTTATCCATTTTATCTTTTAAAATTTAATTGGGGGATGTTGGCGGATGCTCCATTAGAGAATGGAGACAGACCCGAATGCAAGTTTGCTAATGAAATATATAAATAGCAGTTCAGCTGTTTGTTACATTTTTGAGAAGCCCAAGCAGTGAAAGAAAATTTCAGAGGTTATTACATTTTTATCACATTTGGAAGAGGTTATTACATTTTTAAGATTACAAAGGTTCTATCGGGACGGTAATTGGTGTCCAAAAACATCAGTGTTTGTCCTGGAGAACATTCAGTCTGGAATTATTTACTGTTTTTAGACAAACTCCAGGGTTGTGTAGAAATAACATTTCCCACCTGAATCGCTATTCAGAATTGTCAACAAGGGATTGATGGAAACTTTTTTTCTCCAAGTTATACTACAGAAACATGTGAACTGGGGCAACATTGAGATGAACAAATTTTTAAAAAACTGTACCACACAAAGCTGTAAGATGACTTCAGAATAATTTGAATGTAAGGCATAAGTTACATGGACTATTTTTAGGATACATTCAGGTGTTTTATGGAGTTTAACAGCCCCTATCTGGGTCACTTTATGGATTAGATTTTTTGGAAAAGAGCAGTGTGAATATTTTGAGTCATACTGGTTTTAAATGATAAAAGTAAATGAGAGAATAATGACATAATTTGTAAGTGCAATCGCTATGAAATGTTTTATAAAAGGATGTAGCCTACCACATTTTGCTTTGCCTATTGATATTATTAGGGGTGCAAATTCACTCCTTATTTTCATGAACTCTTCCAGTGTAAATATTTAGCATTGCCGGTGACAGATAGAAATCTGACACCGAGCAGACCAGTTCGATTGGTTTATTTAAATTAAGTTTATATAGTTTTTAGATAGTATTTATATTTAGAATGTATTTGAATTACTGTGTTACATTACTTAAATAATAAATGACTTGAACATTTAATAAAGTATACAAATGATCTTTAACTGTTAAGAGGTTTAAATGAAATGTGGAGAGAGAATTTTTCTGAGAGAAAAGACAAACGTCTGGTGGCAGTTCACAGCGTTTACAGAAATTCCTGCAGTTAATGGATTAATGAATTCACTTTTGTAAACAATTTAACTTGATAAATGAACTTAAGTGAACCTTAAAAGGTTAATAAGTGCAATATTCACATTGGCTGGTGCTGTGACAGTGCAGCTGTTATATCAGGCTGTTATTATACATCTACTCATGCTTTACAGTGTTTTCTATAGAGTAATATTAATAGTCTATAATAAAATATATATATAAATGGAAGTATAATAGAAATGATGTAATAACCAAAAATTATAAACAAAACTCAAAACTCTCTTATATTATCGCTTTTTATCACGGAGGAGTATACTGCACACTTGATAATGCCTTTTCTTCACTGTTTGCTCCAACTAAAAATTAGTGATGTTAGGTTCTTGAACGAATCGTTCTTTTGAGCCGGTTCTCAGGAAGTAACCCGTTGAGCCGGTTCACAAATCGAACTGAGGGTGCTTTCACATCTGGCCCATTGTTTCGGAACCTGGCGCGTTTCCCCCCTTAACTCGGTTCCTTTGGGCATATGTGAACACAACAATCGCACTCGGATCTGCGCCAAAATAATCGGTCCGAGATCGCCTGAACGAGGTGGTCTCGGCTCGATTGAAAATGAACTCTGGAGTGGATCGGTTGTAGTGAGAAAGCAATCCGATCTAACGGACCAACGAACCAGGCTATATCACAATTTATCACACGGCTCTGTGGAATACTTGATTCTGATTGGTCAATCGCGCCATCCAGCGGTATGTTATTCCCAGATAACAACCGCCAAATTGAATAATACACCGCTCATCCAGGTACTACGAGTTATCTTGACCGGTACTACTTATATGCTTAACGAGTCACTCCACAATCGCTGACTGTCTGGCGCCATCTTGTGACTGAAAACACTTAACCACCGCGTGTTACAATGGAAGACTTCAGCATTCATTTCAATATATGGTATATATGGTAAAAACAAATCTTTTTAGCCGTGTAATAAGTGGGATAATGTACATCCAGCAGGTTGTTATCTCAGAATAAACCCCTTCAGGCTGATACAAGATGCACTTTTTTGCAGCTATATCGTATTCATGTTATATTCATTGTGTGTGGTGTGTAAAAGTCTTTATTTTAAAGACTATGATTCCCAGTGTTCACAAGCATATCAGATTACTGAGTGCACTGTTGGTTACAGTATTTACTTCCTTTTTATTCATATTTTTAACAAATTCTTTATTTGTGGAAAATACTATAATAGAATAACAGAATTTGCTATAAAAATACATCTTAATGTATCGCATTTATGGCAAATAACATCACAAAACCCATGGTGACCCTGCTGAAAAAAACCAATAGAAACCATCACAGAAATTCTAATGGTTTCCACTACAAATAACGTTACAAACCATCAACTTTTATCCATTAAAACCATTAAATAATGGTTTCCTGTAGTGTGTTTTGGGACATGCTCCATTAGGATTTAGTGGTTTTAACAAAAGCTACCAATAATTGGCAACCAATTACCAGAAGAGACCAACAGGGTCCATTAAATCCAATACAATTGATTGTATATTTCAATACATTTATTGAAATAAATGTATTATTGTATGAAATAAAATACTTTAAATATACATAAAAAGAGCAGAACACAAAAATATGACATAAAAATAAACATAAACCTTGAATCTAGAAACCTGAAACAACAGAATTCTTAATTTTGAGTATTCATATGTATCTCTCTCTCGCTCTCTCTCTCTCTCTGTGTTTGTTTGTGTGTGTGTGTGTGTGTGTGTGTGTGTGTGTGTGTGTGTGTGTATCGGTCTCCTCTCCTGGTGTGCATGTGGTGTTAAAACATGTGTTCACACTGAGCTGCACACAGCAGTATGACTGTACCAGGAATACGACTCTAGGTGAACCACCTCTCCTGGTGTGCATGTGGTGTTAAAACATGTGTTCACACCAGAGCATGTGAGCGGAGCGGAGCGTGAGCGGAGCGGGTAATATTTCCTTAGACTCTAGGTGAACCAGAGTACAGGATCTCAAAGACTATTCTCAGTTGAACAATACAGCTGCATGACAGTGGTTGCTGTGTTTACAACTGATTTTTATTTCATATTTTGTATACATTTAGGTAGTTGACATGTAACATAAGTGTCCAATTAGCCATGGATGTCACATACAAATTCATGACAAAAACATAATGTAACGTAAAAACAATGTTTTGTCACATACAGCATTGAGCTCCTCTCTATTGACCTTGCGGCGATACAGAAACAGGGCTGTGATAATATTCCCAGCTCGAGCTGCCTGATTAGCTGTGTGAGTGACACATACAGGAAATCCTGTGCATAAATAAGACAATTAGCAAATGTTGAAGGATTGACTGTTTCCACCAAAGGTGAGGTCTTCCTTTTTTTGTTTATATAGCGTTAGGTTGTTGAAACACTGATAATAAGTGACAATGAGTAATGGTGTAGGCTCGCATACCATGCCATAATAGTTACTGTTGACCATAATGGGACTCCGACTCCGGAGATAAACATACTTTTCCCACCAGTCACTAACTTGGATGATTAAAAAGTAATTAACATTTTGACTCTAAATAAGACATATTAAATCATCCTAATTAATTGTCTATAATAAAACTAAATAACCCTATTACAAATTAAAGAGCTCCTAAATTTCATAATATTGCTGTGTTGATCTGATACATACACACACAATTTACATGATCATACAGTTGGCTATGAGAGTATTAGAACATTGCTTTAAAGGGGTCATATAATGCTACATGCACTTTTACAAGTTGTACACAACCACCCTAAAATGATAAAAATCCACCCAGTTTTTTTTAAAAATCTGATTAAATGTTTTCCTCTTTCTCAAATCGAGCCGATCTCTGATGCCTGTCTGTGTGACGTCACACAGACAGGCCCCTCCCACGATAGTTTGATTGACAGTAGTGTTTCAGCAGACTGGACTGGTGTCTTACCTTAGACCTGCCCTGAGTGACTGTCATCAGTCCGCCATTGTTTCACCGCTGGAGCAGATGTAGACAAGAATGTCTCTTAAGTGATTGAGGTGTTCTGTTGTTGGATGTAATAATGAACATAGCAGTCGTCTTTTACTCCCGACATCTGAGCTGCTGAAGACGCAGTAGATTACATTGCCCCCGATCTACATAAATGCATCTGTGTTTTTTACACTACCATTGAGAAATTTTAACCAAACTATGTTACAGACTTTTCATTAAGACCCTAAAGAATCATATCAACTTGTGGAAAATGGGCATCCTATGACCCCTTTAATAGAAGGCTGGAGCATATATTTGCAACTAATTTAAAACGTCAAGTCAATTTAAAAATGAACTCTTCAGGTCACATTAGAAAACATCACAATAATTTGCAAGTAATCCACACACCAGTCTATTAATTAACATCTTGTGAAGTGAATACAAACACTCTGGATTTTAACACTGTAAATTTTACAGTTTTTAAATTTACTAGAGGTTAACTGATTGATTACTTGTCAATTATTGTAATGTTTTTATCAGCTGTTTGGACTCTCATTCTGACGGCCCCCATTCACTGCAGAAGATCCATTGTTCAAGTTTCTCCAAATCTGTTCTGATGGAGTAAAAAACTCATCTACATCTTGGATGGCCTGAAGGTAAAGAGCAAATTTTCATTTTTGAGTGAACCTATAAATATCTAAGATTCAGTACCAATACATTTTTATTAATGATCAATTATCAGTTGTCACATATACTTTATTTTAATCAGCTAGTATTGTATGTAATCACATAATCAAGATAAGTAAGACATTGACATTGACAAGAAAATAATCGCTCAGAATTTTTCGGCTCGTACATAGTTTGTGGCCCACAGTGCTTTAAGTTTGAGGTATTTTTGTAGGGGGTTACCCAGACTTTTCTCAAACTCAGCAGCCAGTCTTGTCATTCGCTGAAAACCAGCCATATCTAGCAGAAGCTTCACTGACTCAAGATACAAGTTGAGATAGCATTCACTGGTAACTCATAAAGCCCAAACATTCAAGAACTCTGCCCATTTTTATTAGTCATCACTTCTCAGCAAACACGGAACCATGCACATTACCCACACACATTTAATTTACATTGTATTGACTCACTCTTTCCAAAGTGTCTTTAATGGGAGGTACAGGCAGGTGTGGTAAAGACGTCTGATAGCTGTACAGTAATGGCTTTATACTGGACAGCAGCCTAACTAGAGTCTGAAAAGGAAAACAAGAGAGGGAAGGAGTCAAAAAGATAAATATGTGTGTTCCGCTCTTACAGGAAAAATAAGGTGGATAGCTCTTTTCACACTTGAAATAGTTAACCCTGGGTCATTCTACACACTGAATAAATGGAATCCTGGGTTATCTTGTTTCACATTTCACACTGCTCATCATTTTTACAACTGATCCTTGGTATTTGCAAGCTGATGTTTAAAAAAAAAGTACATTACTAAACGCTGGGTTAATGCCCTTATTTGCATTAATTGTGTGTTTGTGAACTTACAGCTGTCATGAAATTGTATTATTGCAACTTTAAGCAACTGTTTTCTATTTTGATCAATTAAATTAAAATGTCATTTATTTCTGAATTGACAGCATTCGTTACTCCAATGTCACACGATCCTTCAGAAATCATTCTAATATGCTGATTTGGTGCTTTAAGAAACATTTCAGTGTTGAAAACAGTATGTGTGTATATATATATATATATACAGTGTACGGAAAAGTACGGAAAGTATTCAGACCCCCTTAAATTTTTCACTCTTTGTTATATTGCAGCCATTTGCTAAAATCATTTAAGTTCATTTTTTTTCCTCATTAATGTACACACAGCACCCCGGCCCCCATTCACTGCAGAAGATCCATTGTTCAAGTTTCTCCAAATCTGTTCTGATGGAGTAAAAAACTCATCTACATCTTGGATGGCCTGAAGGTAAAGAGCAAATTTTCATTTTTGAGTGAACCTATAAATATCTAAGATTCAGTACCAATAAATTTTTATTAATGATCAATTATCAGTTGTCACATATACTTTATTTTAATCAGCTAGTATTGTATGTAATCACATAATCAAGATAAGTAAGACATTGACATTGACAAGAAAATAATCGCTCAGAATTTTTCGGCTCGTACATAGTTTGTGGCCCACAGTGCTTTAAGTTTGAGGTATTTTTGTAGGGGGTTACCCAGACTTTTCTCAAACTCAGCAGCCAGTCTTGTCATTCGCTGAAAACCAGCCATATCTAGCAGAAGCTTCACTGACTCAAGATACAAGTTGAGATAGCATTCACTGGTAACTCATAAAGCCCAAACATTCAAGAACTCTGCCCATTTTTATTAGTCATCACTTCTCAGCAAACACGGAACCATGCACATTACCCACACACATTTAATTTACATTGTATTGACTCACTCTTTCCAAAGTGTCTTTAATGGGAGGTACAGGCAGGTGTGGTAAAGACGTCTGATAGCTGTACAGTAATGGCTTTATACTGGACAGCAGCCTAACTAGAGTCTGAAAAGGAAAACAAGAGAGGGAAGGAGTCAAAAAGATAAATATGTGTGTTCCGCTCTTACAGGAAAAATAAGGTGGATAGCTCTTTTCACACTTGAAATAGTTAACCCTGGGTCATTCTACACACTGAATAAATGGAATCCTGGGTTATCTTGTTTCACATTTCACACTGCTCATCATTTTTACAACTGATCCTTGGTATTTGCAAGCTGATGTTTAAAAAAAAAGTACATTACTAAACGCTGGGTTAATGCCCTTATTTGCATTAATTGTGTGTTTGTGAACTTACAGCTGTCATGAAATTGTATTATTGCAACTTTAAGCAACTGTTTTCTATTTTGATCAATTAAATTAAAATGTCATTTATTTCTGAATTGACAGCATTCGTTACTCCAATGTCACACGATCCTTCAGAAATCATTCTAATATGCTGATTTGGTGCTTTAAGAAACATTTCAGTGTTGAAAACAGTATGTGTGTATATATATATATATATACAGTGTACGGAAAAGTACGGAAAGTATTCAGACCCCCTTAAATTTTTCACTCTTTGTTCATATTCGTATACTATATTTACACCAAAAGTGTATATACTAATTTGCAACTAAAATATCTATTTTATAGCTTGTGGCAGGACAAGTGAAAATGTTGGCAGGGAACGTAAAAATCGGAACAACTCCCAATATTGCTATTGTTTAAAGAGTATATCTTTACAGAAATGATTGAAACTGTAATTTTTTTCAAGGTACTAACCGCCCAGACTTTGGTCTTGGTAGAAATGCGTCCATGTTGCTCAAACATCCATCGGTAGTATGATAGGAGAAGCTTTAGGCAGAACCTCAGAGCCAAAATGAGAGACAACCACAGCAGATTACTGAACAGCAGCGCCGATAGCACAGTCTGACCTTGAGCACTCAATGACAGGCTGACAGGAGAGAAACAGAGGAGTAAATCTGCATCATCTCTTCCAGGTTAATATTAGGCTGTATAAATGCACTCAAATGTTGTCATTTCACACAGACTTCACAATCTTTCATATTTTGGATGAAAACCGGGAGGCTTGTGACTGTCTGATTGACTGCCAAGTAAATTACGCTGTCAAGGCCCAGAAAAGTATGAAAGACATCATCAGAATAGTCCATCTGCCATCAGTGGTTCAACCGTAACGTTATGAAGCGACGAGAATACTTTTTGTACGCGAAGAAAACAAAAATAACGACTTTATTCAACAATTCGTCTCCTCTGTGTCTCTCTGCATCACTGTATCGCCATTTTGGTGAATATCCGCTGAATGCAAGCAGCATATGCTGTTCTGTGTCAGCTGCGTCACACGGATACGCTGTTTCCATTCAGATCAAATCACAACAACATAGGAAACAGATCCGGCGTGACGCAGCTGACACAGAACAGCATACGTTGTTTACGTCCAGCGGATACTCTCCAAAATGGCACCAGGGTGATGCGGAGGAGACAAATTGTTGAATAAAGTTTTTTTGTTGTTTTTTTGCACATAAAAAGTATTCTCGTAGCTTCGTATAATTGCGGATGAACCACTGATGTCGCATGGATTATTTTACAGATCTCCTTGCTACGTTTCTGGACTTGGGAAAATTTCAGTTGCGTTGCTGTCTATGGGAGGGTCAGACAGCTCTCAGATTCCATCAAAAATATCTTAATTTGTGTTCCGAAGATGATCGAAGGTCTTACATGTTTGAAAACGACATAAGGCTGAATAATTAATGACAGAATTTTCATTTTTG